AACTTTCAAATTTTAATCTTTTTGCCACATTTATCGGCTGAAGACATATTGCATGGAATAGAAAATGAAAAATGTTTTTCAGAAATCCTGCGTTATTAGATCAACCCAGAACTTCTATTGATCTATAATAAATAAATTAAGAATTTTAAAAATCAGTAACCATTTACTGAAATGGATGCTTTCTTAAAAAATATAGGGTTTAGGACTGATTAAGGGCTTATTATTCTACTGATTTTATGATTACTTTCATAGTGATCAAAATAATGGAACATTTGAAAGTGCATTTATCCTTTATTTCTATGTTTTCTTATTTTGACCATACATTCAACTAGTAAAGTCTGAGGAGAAAAAATTGACACTTCTTTTCACTAATCTTCATAGAACGTTAAACCATCACATGTGACACTATCACCAAAGTGTCTGCAGTTATGCAAATTTAACTTTTGATAATATATATAAACCGTGGCCTAGAAAAAACACTTAACTAGAACATGAAGTTCAAAGTAACCTTCAATATGAAGTGATGTCAACAGAAAAGCGATTGAAAACCAGGATGGACCGAACAGTGGCCAAGTACGTGACAGTAAATCCCTAATGTAATCTGATGACGCTTTTGTTACTGCTCAGATCGGTTAAATATGATGATTTGAACTATTGAACGTTGAATTGATGTTAAATAAATACTATGCCTACCACATGACCTGAATAGCATGAGTTTAACTCTATGTTACTTCATGAGTACTCATTGCCGAATAATTCAGGCGCCCCTTAATTTTCAATAGTTCTCCAATCAACGTTACATAGTCAAGAAAATTATATTCAAATTGTGCAAAGTCACTAAAACACCACTTCATACCACAAAGTTGTTTGGTGTTTTATGAACCTTATATTTAAAGTGAGTTATGCGAGTATGTAGTATAAACCAGTTCATAGTAACATGCATCAATTCATCCTAATCTAATTGAATTTACAAACCAAACTACTCTTTGTAGTATACTGTACTTATCCAATTTTTCCGGTTTAAAGATAAAACAAGCAAGCATTTCATGAAGTTCCTTTCTACTTTGTTTAATAGTCGTTTTTGTCTATTGTTTGTAAAAGTTTATTTCGTCTGTTGATTTTTTCCAACTTAAAACCCAAATTATCATTTCAAAGTTTCTTTTTCTTACTTTATATTATTCAATTTTAAACAATACTAAAATTGATTATAAGACAATATTGTTTATATACATGAAAGCGTGAGTCAATTGACACCAGACTACCATGGAAAACCTGGAAGCACCGGACGGCCGTTTCGTCCTATTGTGGGACTCCTCAACGGTACGCATCCACGACCTCGCCTCGCGAGATTCAAACCCAGGACCTACCAGTCTCGCGCCAGAGCACCTAATCGACAGACCACTGAGCCGGCATCCGATGGTATTTATGTCTAACTCCAACCAATCCACGAAGTTGAGCAACCGTTCACCAATTGTCTTCATTGAGTTCCTATCTACCTTCAATTGACTCACGCTTTCAACTATGAAAATAATAAATCTCCACAAAACCCCTTCTGATTATATAAATGAAATAATGGAAAATATTACGAATTAGATTGACTTCGGTTTATTCACGTTACCTTGGTTGACAAAGTAATTGTGTAAGTAATTGGTTAATGATTTTTAGATGTTTAAACGTTTCTTGTATTAAAAAATGATATACAGAGTACATATTAAACTTTTGATGATTGAATGTTCTAAATAAGAATAATATACAATATATACAAGTATATTTAGGATCCGTTTCAGATTTCAGTGAAAAAATTGTTATTGATTTATCAATGTTGATTTCATTTGGTTCACTTCTTGATTCCCTCGATTTACACTCTATATAGAAATGATAAATTACAATAGTTTATAGTTGTGTGAAATTCAATATTGTTATATAACAATCCTAAGATGTTGAAGTTATAATCGAATCACAATGTTATATAAGATGAATTCATGTTCATACATGTCCAAAATAATTTGAATCTTGACCATATTGTTAAATGATGAAAAGTTTACATAATGTATCATTCATCAATATGTATTTCTTCTAAGCTCTTTCTACTACTTACTTTGGTTGCTGACAGAAAATAGTTCATAACTTGTACTTACCATCCTTACTAATAGTTCTTTAATTAAACAAATACCTTTAGTTTAATATATCTTAACCTGAGCCCACCAATTTTGACTAATAAAAATAATTATTTTTACTTCATGATGTGGGTACTGTGAATAAATCCAGACCATTATTTGATGTACTATCTGAACTTTCCTGTTATTTGTCGCGCCACATTACTCATTTAAGACAATCATGTCACTTATTAATTGATGACTATTCGTTTCACATTGATGTATAAATGATATCGGTTCGTGTTTGTCCTAAAAGCGGGTCATGTTTAGTAATCGCTAGATGTCTTGTGCGTAAATTGTTCTGAAAATGAGGCCTCATCCATGCTTAAGGTTAGGCACATTCAGTAATCTATTCGAACCAACTTCTTTTTGGAGTATTTTAGGATCTTCAATACTATCTTCAATACCTACCAGTCTCGAGCCGAAGCCCTTAACCGATAGACCACTGAGCTGGCATCCAACGGTCCTGGGTTCGGATCTCGCTCGCGAGAGCGGGTTCGTGGATGCGCACTGCTGAGGAGTCCCATAATAGGACGAAACGGCCGTCCAGTGTTTCCAGGTTTTCCTCGGTGGTCTAGCTTCAACTGACTAATGCTTTCATCTATGAAACATACCAAATCTCCACAAAAACCCCTTCTAATAGTTAATATAATCATATGCTCACTAGTGACTTCGGGAAGTACATCCAGGAGCTCTAGTGAGAAGCACTGACCAGAGGAGTGCAAACCACGTCTGTCGTGAGATAGGAACTCGCTGATGACAATTGGTGAATGGTTGCTCAACTTCGTGGATCAGTTGAAGTTAGACATTAACACCGTTGGATGCCAGCTCAGTGGTCTATCGGTTAAGGGCTTCGGCTCAAGACTGGTAGGTCCTGGGTTCGAATCTCGCTTGCGAGAGCGGGTTCGTGGATGCGCACTGCTGAGGAGTCCCATAATAAAACGAAACGGCCAGTGTTTCCAGGTTTTCCTCGGTGGTCTAGCTTCAATTGACTCATGCTTTCATCTATGAAACGTTTATTTAATTCCCTATCAGACGAGCCTTCAGCTTACCTCATTATCGATAAGCATAAACCGAATAAAGTTCCTCTAACTTTTAAATATGAATAATATGCCTATATTATTAGGCACTAGGCATTTCAACAAACTAACTTTCGTATAACTAACAATCTTGTTGATCAGTGAAGACGCCTTTTCATTCTCCACAAGTATTTCAAATAACACTCATTAGCTTTATTGACTTTCTCTGATTATGAAATGACTGAAAATTTCATTTTCATTAGGTGTTAATTGTTAGACAAACTGTTTTTCTGTCGAAAATCCGGCATCAACAAATATCTTTTTGTAAACAGCATCGGCCTTACTGTTGGAAAAAGGCAAATGATGTGGCAAAACTGTGATTACGAAAACTAAAAACTGGTACTAAGTTCTGACAACTGACGCACCTATTGATCCGATATTAGCTAACCTATTAATCGTCTGAAACGGTAATTTGACTGGTAGGAGAGAATGGATGGAGGCTATGGGGCTGGAAATCGAGACACCTTCACATCCTTACAAGTTTGTTTTCCCAACCCGAAATGATTATCATTCTTTCGCTTTCATATATATCGAAAACAGATTCATTTGACTAAAACATTCGACATAGGTCATGTAATTGTATCAATGAATGTTACTTAGATAATCTTTCAGTAAGCAAATTATAATATCTAACTATTGACATATTGTATATCCGATTTATATTTCACATCTAGGGACCGATCAAAATTTCTTACGTCAAAAAATATAATTATATTACATTCATCCTTGTTCCATTTTTGTCACATTGATTAATTTCGAAAATTATATTGATTCACCTACAACATGATGGGTAATAATGTATACTGGAATCAAACTAGTATTAACTGTGTATATCTCATTTTTAAACCCTTACTAAATATTAAACAGAAATGAAAAAGAATTTTTTTTAAGTATCTTAATGAATTGCACCTATTTGTTTTAACACTTTTTAACTTGTTACCAATTTAAATTAGATATGATGATTAGATATTATAAAATGAATTTATTGAATGTCATATTATCAAGTAAACATTTTGATAGATTTTTGTTAATTTTTACCTTCGTAATGACTGTAAGTGTTGTAAATCGTAAACAAATATTATACTAAATTAAGACTATTGACGTTATATCTTCATTGGAAGTTGATATTGTTTAATTGTCTACTAAAGTTTGTAGAAGTTATTAGACAACTAATTTATACACAAATGAAAATTCATAGAAGTTAATACTTTGTACATTTCTAAACATTAAACTAAGCTTCTTTTTAAAATGGTCATTTTGAGGAATTTGTGTAGTCGAACAAAGTTTTGTTCACACCTAATCAGTTTCTTAGGTAGATTTTTTCGAACAGAGACTTGATGTTACAACAAATCATGCTTCAAAATTATGCTAAACACCCAAAAAGCGATATCCATTATTAAGAAGTAATCTGAAATCAGTACACCAAAAAATGTATAACACCTTGAATTATTTGTTGGGCTTGCATTTCGTGGCACCCTGAAATGTTTCCTCGTTTTACAAGTAAAATAATAAGCAATTCCGACAAAATAATTAGCGACAACCAGATATAACAATCAGCGATGACCTATATAGCAAGTTGGCCGCAGGAATTTCGGAAAAAAGGAAACCGTTACAATCGCTGACCGAGTCAATTGAAAAGTTTCAGTCTCCAGCTATAACTCAGTTGCCAGTTTGACGTACCTCAAATCTTGTTTCTTCAGTTATAAATGTACTTCTGCTTTTATTTATCAAGTCGCTGTTACAACAAATTACGCAATTACTGGTGTAAGAACATGTCAATTTCAGTCGCAGAAGTAAAATCAATGCTTCAGTTTAATGAAGATGTGTTCATTAAATCTCATTTAATGCTCATCAGAGCATTGAAGGAACACACGCTCAAACAATCAAATCCGGGATCTCACTCAAAAATTATAGATATTTAACGAGATAACTGATATATTTCCTGATGTAATAAGGAAAAGTTTTGTGATTGAGGAAGAGGTCAGCGAATTCTTTAATGATGTTTACCTTAGGAAAAGTTCAAATGTTCTTTTATTAGATTCCTCTCATTCTAATTATCTGGTCACTTCAAGTGAAGTTCATAATCATTGTGAGATCTAATTATAGTTCTGGTGGACCCATAGCAAATGTTATTTATCCTAACAATCCATTCACCTCTAATCAGTGTGGGAGAAATGTTTCAAATGAGTCACATTCTGATCACATTTCAGATGTCGTTGTAGCAGATGTTGGGTTCTATCACACCTCATATGTCACATGAAATCCCTCATCAATGCTGTGATAAATCAATTGACATAAGTGTTTGCGAAGCAGTCGCGAAACCAGAATTTCCAGGAATGACAAAAGGATTCTTCAACCTCTGTGTATACCCTCACACCTCAATAGGCACATATAATGAAGGTGCTAGTAGTGATAAAACAGTTCAGATCATTAAAGTCACATTATTTGTAACATGGCTGCATGCAGATCCAACATTGTTTCATGGTGGAGGGAGAATCATATGTGCATTGAAAGAAGGAACAAAGCATAGAAGTCAGAAGGTTAATTAGATTTTTTCCCAAATGAAACTGAAAAAAACCAATTGAAACTGGAACATGACTATGTGATCTCAGTGAGTACGCAAAAAAAGAACAACAAACTTTCGAATAGACTCTCTGCGGGAAACTTATTCTTACGTATTCTGTTAAAAGAAAGGGAGGTGACGACGTGATGAAAAGTCAAAATAACATTCTTTTGCTGATTGTGATTTCGTGTTGAACATTACTTGCGTTTTAATTCAATATGACGATTACTCAGTGTAGTTTTTGTTTCGTTTTCCAGTATGATGTTTTTTTCTGTAGAACATACGATATTATTGTGTTAAATTAACATGAACTATACTCGGCATGGCATGTAGCATGTGATTTGTTATAACTCTAAGTACTTTTCATATATATTATTTCATCTTAACTATTAATCAATATGGGTGTACAAATCAACATATAGATGAGTGTCTTTTCGATTAGGATCGCCTTCGTATTTTGGGGTTAATAAATCTTTATTTGTATCAGTCTTGGTGTTCTTACGTCTCGTCTTGAGAATTACAGTGGTTCCCTATTTTACAAGTAAAGTAGTAAGCGATTCTGACAGAACAATTAGCGACGACCGATATAACACAACCTACTCTGCTTAAATTTCTTGGAACACTTATTCCTTCGAAACCTACCATGCCGGGTAAGTTGGATGGAGAACAGTAAAAATGAGAGCGACAACTTTAGATTCGACGACAAAGTTCTACCACTGACTGTACTATAGTCTGACGACAGTGACGTCCTAAAATTACCACATCTGATATTAGCCTATAGATTCCCAGATTTTGGGATAAGATATTTAAGGTACGGAGCTAACACATCAAGAACTTCTAATATAGAACCTGTATGCAACCACCCTCAGACAGTTGTCTCTTGATCTCTGGGATCATGCTTTTAAGTGCCCATGACAGCTAATAAGACAGTTTCCTTCTTACGCACCTCAAGAGATATCCTTTCGCAGTGTGGTAACCAAGATATGACAACAACCTACATAACTCTAACAATACTTTAGGTCACATTGACCGACACTCAAACTAACTATAAAATAATACCTTTTTTCGACAATTAAAAAGATCTTGTATTTATTTAACATCTCTATATTACTATATTATTAAAAATATTTAATTTTTTGTTATTGTCATCGCATTTATTTTGGTTCTTTTCCTGTAGTAAAAGCAGATGTTTATCCACCGAAACTATTGACACTTTCAACTAGTGTTAAGCTGCCGATAAATCAAAATCCTACAATCATTGATAAAGTTGATATAACCCGATTACAAGAAAAATCTATGATTGGACATATTTATGGTCTAGGTACTTTAAATAATCCAATTGATTTAATCAATACAAAAGCATACACAGAAAACGGAATTTTTATTGAATGTACAACATCTTGTGCAACATCAGTTAAAGGTATTTATTGGAAGGCAAAGAATTCAGTAAGTTTTCATTATTATTATTGTTATTAGTATTATTATTGGTAGTAGTAGTACTACTACTATTACTACTACCTTTATTACTATATTGCTACACACGTTAAGTTATTGAATTATTGTGGGTGTGTACTCTATGGAGAAAATTGTTTGAGTTAACGAATTTACTTTAGATTGTTAAGAGTATAAGTTTCAAAAATAAATTTCAGTAGTAATGAAGGAAATTAATTTATGAAAGTTTGGGTTTATTCTTACCTTATGTATTTGATACGTTTTTGTATTGAATAGCTTGAATTTCTGTATAACACTCCATGGTCAACTGATTTAATTTGTATGCCTAGCCACCATCAACCCCGGTAGGCTATGTTTGCTGGTATTGGAGTGTGCTGGAAGAATGCTAGAGGATGCTTAATCAAAATATGCCATAAGTCTATTAAGTTCTCAACTATTAGTATGAGCCATGCTAATGGAATCAGACTACCTGGTTGGGGTCAGTAAATAACTTTACCCAACGGCTGTAAGCTTTGCGTGATATGGCTCATGATCGTTCACAAAGGTGCAAATCCATTCACGTTTCGTCTTCCTCTCGATCTTCAATTCTCTTATTACTTCATATATACCTTCCTATTCTGGCATTTTCCAAACATTCGGTGCTTAGTTTTTCTTATTGCCTTTGCTATGAGATTATTGCAATATCTTTTTCTGCTCATTTTTCTTATCTCATCTCATCGCGCTGAAATAGTATGATAACTTGAAGAGAACCACATCTGTGCTACACTCTATGTTGGTAAGAACCACTGACTGTGTGCCTAGAGTAATACTATTTCTGCACAACAACATCTCCCTCATATCCCAGTTTTTTACTTCCAGTACTGTTTTGTTAAATGATGGGTTCTTTTTTAATGCTTAATTTAAACTTATAACAATCTTTTTGCTAAGGATCACACCAAATATCAATTAAATTACGAAAAATCTCTTTTATTGTTACAAGTTCAAAGTACTTTGTCTACACAAAAATACACCTTATGTCTTTATATGGGCTGATTTCCTCAAACTGAGTAAATTGAGAATGACAAGATTCCAAACAGCTCAAACTCACAATGAGTAATCTGGTTTGAAATAAATGGTTGACGCACTTGAATTATTAAGACTGAGAGTTTGAAAAGTGTTAACATTTCAAAAAAGGAAGATATAAAAATAACAATAAACTGATATTTGAAAAATCTAGTTTCATAAAATAGGTTAAGGAAGCTTACAATTAATTATAATCAATGGACAAATTAGTTTTACTTAACTGGATAACATTACTAGGATAAAATTAATTTGTTGAGTGAAAGTCGGTAGACAGGTAGAAATGAGACTACGAAATATATATAAGTATTACTTGTCATTGATATTTATTAATGATAATGCTAGTCCTACATATGGCTTGATTATTTCTACATGTGTTGTCTGGTAAATCCTTTATCCTATTACCTGTGGCGCACTACTTCTCCCAGTTTATGATGTTTTAGGGCATGAAAACGTTCTCAGCGTTCTAACTAATATGTACTGAAGTTTGAAAAAGGTAATATACAATTTCTGTCATGCGACTGCATGTATCGGTCAAAATGTCCAATTATTTTAGAAACAATATGTACCCAAGACGTTTACATAGGCGTTTTTTAAAGCTGCATGAACTTGTCTTAGTGTAAGATTCCACGTATGAACATCATGGATGACTATTTACTTGGTAATTGTTATCACTTAGAAATTCAAGCTTAAAATTCGGTTGTAAATTTTAGTACTTTACATCTTATTACTTATTTATCTACAAATCTATAGAATAAACTGACATAGTGAATACATTTTTTTCCCATAGATTTTTAAATATTCATTCTGTATTAAAGGGTCATAATACTAGGTGTACTAATAATAATTTCTATTTAATAGTATTTGTTCAGTACAATATTCAGTTTTAAGCATTCAATATTTCAATAAGTGCCCTTTTTTCTTTGCAGACATCACTTTATATATATATATATATATATATATATATATATATATATATTAGATCAACCCTGAAAATATATTTTTATATATTTAATTGATATGGTATGGTAGGCTTTTCTTGCACTTTCCTTGCATTAATTCTAAGGTACCTGTATCCCTAACTACCAAGTGGTGTACGATGAGTAAGCTTTTAAAACTACTATCATGATATATAGACATTTTTGCAAGTGTTAATGAACTCAGTGTTTAACAGAAATGCCTCTTAGATGTTGGTAAAGGTCTTATTCACCGAGTTTAGAATATTTTTATGTAAGACTGGTTAGGTAATAATACCACCTTAGTCGATGCATTTGAACCCAGGATTTAGGAACCTTCCACTTCTTGCTTATAAAATGTGCTAGTTATGATCTATTAAAATGGGTGTTCGAAAAATTTGTGACCAATTCATATAGTTTAAATCCGGTGACTATCTCTTAACTATGTCATAAAACTGGAAAAATACAGAATCTGTCAATAAACCGGATTCGAGTTGACAACAAATTAAACATAATATTTAATCTATCAAGAGAAATATAGACATTTGTGACTTTTTGCGAGCTCAAAAATATATCACGAATAATAGTCCCATTTTCCTTTCACAAAGCTTTCTTTTATATTACTTAGACCTATGTTGCAGATGATTACAATGTTTTCGTAGCCATTATTAATTTCATAGAAGCCAACTGCTACTCCTAATCGTTAAAATCATGGGTCAATTGAAGCTAGACTACCATAGAAAACCTGGAAACACTGGGCGGCCGTTTCGTTTTATTGTGGGACTCCTCAGCAGTGCGCATCCACGATCCCGCCTCGCGAGATTCGAACCCAAAAACCATCAGTTTCTCTCACGAGCCGGCCGGCATCCAGCGGTTTTAATGTCTAACGTCAACCAATCCACGAAATTGAGCAACCATTCACCAATGTCTTCAGTGGGTTGATATCTCCCAACTGACCTGGTTGAACTCCACTTGTTACTGCTTCTCACTAGAACTCCAGGAAATACCTGTTAAAGACAACCACTAGTGAATATATGACCATTATCAGAAGAAGGGTTTTGTGGAGAAATCATGACTCATGATTTCAACAATATAAAATTACTAAAATCTCCACAAAACCCTCCTTCTCCCAACCGTTAGTTAAATATATTTTTAGTCAACAGTAGGTTATGATCATTCATCAGACAGCTAATCATGTTTAAGAACACTAACAATAACAATAATAACCTACAGTGAAGAAATTCAAACATTGAAACTTGAAAATCTAACATTTTTATTATCCACTTCATAGATTGTGCATAAACTCATATTCGATAGATCATAACATGTATGTTACAAATTCCACATACAAAATGCTAAAAATAAATGTCTATCTTTACAAATCAGTTATAATAAGCTGACGATAGTATTTATGAGAAAACAACACTTTATCTTAATAAATATGCCGTTCCTTAAAATTAAAAAGAAATGCAACTTGATGAATGCATTGACGTAATGTGTGCATATATGTATATATTCAATTTATTCAGATAGCACAAATCAATGACAATACAAATGCACGGCTGAAACTCACCATTAAAATAACATGATTAACTTGGTGATCAGTGTAAAATCGAAGCGATGATTTGTAAAGTCTAAGTGACACTAGGAAGAGTTTCGATTTATATGAATATAGAAGTGTGAGTTGGATTGCATCATGAATTAAGACGAAATGACTCGTGGAATACAATCTTTTCAAAAGTGAGCCCATTACCCATTAATGGAATTGGATGATTTCACGCCGTACTTGGAATCACTTGAAGTCGGAAGTGTAGACCATCAAGTTTCTAATGGGTTGTTTAAACGTAATGCGCTCATTTCGGAAACTGAATGTCCTCAATTCTATCTTTAGGCATGCCCTGAGTGTACATTTCAGAAGAGTTTCATATTAAGACGAAACACATGTTCAATGATCCTTGGTTTCCATTGGTTTTATCGGTCCATATCAATTCATGATGAAATTCAACTTCAACTTACTTAAATATTTAATATTACCAATTATTTTCAAGAAATATTTAATAAAATGATAATAAAATAGTAGATCAGAAGGGGTTTTGTGGAGATTTAGTGTTTTCATGGTTGAAATCATAAGCCAATTGAAGCTAGACCACCATTGAAAACGTAGAAGCGCTGGACGGCCGTTTCGTCCTATCGTGGGACTCCTCAGTAGTGCGCATCCACAATCTCGCACTCGTGAGATTCGAACCCAGGACCTATCAGTCTTGCGCCAGAGCACTTAACCGATAGACCACTGAGCTGGCATCCAACGGTGTTAATGTTTAACTTCAACCAATTCACGATTTTGAGCAACCGTTCACTAATTGTCTTCAGTGAATTGATATCTCTACAACAGACTTGGTTGCTGAGGAGTCCCATAATAAGACGAAAAGACCGTCCAGGTTTTCCACGGTTGTCTAGCTTCAATTGACTCATGGTTTCAACTATGATAATAAAATAGTAATATAATAATTTATACTGACAATGATGCAACTCGTAACCTGTGTATACATATCAGTCAATGTATGTTGTTCTATTTTCATTAATATAAATTGTTTTCACTAATAAAAAACAGTAGTATAATAATATTAGATTAATCAAGACATTTAATAATAAATTATCATCCCTAGAAATCTTTATATTATTTGTATTAACTACTATCACATCAATGTATCTTATTTGATTTTTCCTGTTAACTATGCCAAAAATCATGTTTTCTATTTAGAAAAAAATTATCAAATTTATATCTTATCAGAAGGGGTTATATGGAGATTTCAGTATTTTCATAGTTTCATAGCTTCAATTGATTCATGCTTTCAGCTATATAAAATTTCTATCTGTTAGAATAAATAAACTCATGTTAATAATATTTTAAAGAAAAAAAGAAAAGAATAAAGAAAGAATATGTGTATATGAGTTGATTCACTTGAAATCAAGTTGAAACATATTTTTTTCTTCTAATGGTAATGAAATATTTATTTATCTGATTAAATTAAAAAAAATAAGTAGTATCATTGATAAGATAATATTTCTAATTACTTTAACTGTACATAATGTTTAGAGTAGCTGAAATGAATCAACTCCATTATGTTATATTTTGAGTAGATCAAATTGTAACTTTTTTGAAAATATGACGTGTCGGGGCAAGGGATTGAAAATTCCGAGTTTTATCTTTTATTGAATTATGAGTGTTTCTAACTATGACGAAGTAGCACTCTGAAACTACTTAGTGTTCTATAGTTCTTCGGCTTATGGTTTTCAATGGTGAAAACAGTTTTCCTGCTGAATAATAAAACAAAATGGATCATTCTACTATTGTCTGACCTTATTTTGAAGTTGACAACTGTGAAGTCAGTTTGTAAACCTACGGTGTTGAGATTTCATCAGTCATCAATCGACCAGAAATGATGAGACATACGAGATAAGTGAATTACTCAATTACTCCGCTCCCTAATATCAAACCACTTATGAAGCAGTGTTATGCATTTCGTAGAAGAGAAACTCATCTCAAACATTCTTGCATTTCAACCTAAAAGGTTAAATGACTCGAGATTTTGTCAAACTATATATTTATATAAATGAATATACAATCGTTTCACTATGGTTTACCGTCGTTTTACATTTATTCTATTGCAGACATGGACTCACAGTTTGCGAGTACAATCAGGCATTAACAATGATGATGATGATGATTATGTCGATGATAGTTTGTACAATCGGATCCACAGATTATCCTATAAATCAGAATATACTAATCCTATTTGTGAAGTTGGTTTAAAATCAGTTAAAAGTCGCATACAAATTAAATGTGCATCTGGAGAAAGTCAAACACCATCTAAACTTTTATCACATACATTAGTTGGATTAAATAAAATCACTTGTTTTCCATATTATGATAAAGAAATGGAAAATAAATTGTCTAAATTGACACGTTACAATGAAGAACAGCATAAAGGAGTTAGTTCACAATTAATAATACATAATAAAAATAATCCACCTGATATAACTCAGTCTGATTGTTTGATTGATGATGGCAATGGTCATTCACAAGCAGCTGCTTGTATTTATGTTTTGTGTCCTGGTAAGTATTTTTGTCGATCACTCTGTCTGCTTGACTATATATATATATATATATATATATATATATATCAGTTTACAACAGCAACGCCGGAATAAATCAGATCCTTAAGTTCCAGGCCTCGTAAATTTATTGCTTAGGGACTTCCGTGGTGTGTGCTAACGATGTCGACAGATGTAAGTAGTATGTGTCATCAATCGACAGTGAAATGTCTAGTGGCAGAAGGTTAAGTAGATCGAAGGACAGAGAATGACAACAGAGAACGATTAATAATTAGTAATTTGTGTTGAAATACTTGAGGATTAATTTAATTATGACCTTACTCAATTTTTTACTAATCCATTTACTCAGTCATACATCCGCCCATGCTGATTTTTTGCCAATGTATACTATAAAAATAATGTATCATAATCTTTTTCTGGTGAACTTTAATCATTTCTGAAGTTTGCGCAAATAACACATGAGAGTTGTTGCATTTACATATAATCGGATAATTTACTTACTTACGCCTGTTACTTCTCGTGGAAAAGCATAGGCCGACCATCAGCATTCTCCAGCCAACCCTGTCCTGAGCAGTCATTTTCAGTTCTTCCCAGTTAACACTCATCCTTTTCATGTCTGCTTCTATTTCCCAGAGTAATGTGTTCTTTGGCCTTCCTCTTTTCCGTCTCCCCTCAGGATTCCAAATTAGGGCTTGCCTCATGATGCTGTTCGGTGATTTCCTTATTGTATTTCCTATCCACTTCCAACGTCTTTTCCTAATTTCCTCTTCAGATAAAAGCTGGTTTATCCTCTTTCAAAGTAAGGTGTTGCTGATGGCATTCACCCAACGGATACTGAGTATCTTGCGTACAAAGATGTTCATAAATACTTGTGCTGTCTTGATGATGGTTGTAGTAGCTCTCCAAGTTTTATCTTCATACAGTAGAACTGTATTGACATTCGTATGGAAGATTGTGACTTTGATGTTGGTTAAGAGTCGTTTTGAGTTCCAAGTGTTCTTCAACTGTAAGAATGCTGTCCTTGTTTTCCCAATCCTTGCATTTACGTCTGCATCAAACCCTTCTTGGTACGTGAATGTTTCCACCTCTTCAAGTTTCTCCATCAAGTATGATTGGGTTGTTGTTCTCTATGTTGTATTTGAGAATCTTGCTTTTACCTTGGTGTATGTTGAGACCTATTGATGCAGAGGCTACTGCTACACTAGTTGTCGCCATCTGTATTTGTTCGTGTGTATGGGATTGGAGGGTCAGGTCATCTGCGAAGTCCATATCTTCTAATTGATTTTGATGTGTCCATTGTATTCCGTACTTCGCCTCAGATTTCGAGGTCTTCATAATCCAGTCGACCACCAGAAGAAAAAATAAGTCTGAGAGTAGACAGCCTTGTCTGACTCCTGTCCTTACTGGAAATGTATCTGTCAGCTGTCCTCCATGCTTGACTTCGCACTGTAGTCCGTCATATGAATTATGGATGATATTGACAATCTTCTCAGGAACTCCATATTGTCAAAGAAGTTTCGATAATGTTCTGCTGTCCACACTATCAAACGCCTTCTCATAGTCGATGAAGTCGATGTGTGGTGACGAGTTCCACTCAACTGCTTGTTCCACGATGATCCGTAGCGTCACTATTTGGTCTGTGCACGACCGATCCTTACGGAATCCAGCCTTTTGATCTCGAAGTCGTGCGTCTACTGATTCTTTCATCCGGAGAGTCCCATACTATGACGAAACAACTGTTCGGTGCTTCTTGATTTTCGATGGTACACCTATTGAGTGTAATCTATGACATGTACAGTTGGCAACTCAGGGTTTTTTTGAAAATTTCCATCAAAACACTTCATTGAAAAGCAATTGGTTATAACAAGACCTTACTGTTGAAGAAAGTGAAATAAATCTTTGTTATTAACCATACAAACACAAACTAAATGCATTTGCATTCGTTTTATATACCATGGTTATTTTCATTAATCTGACTACCAGTTTTACTATTACCACCGTTGTTGTTCAAACGCATAATCTGTATTTAAAATGTTTGTGAATACACATTTCACTTTATCTTGAAAACAAGAATAGTTAGATATCACAGACACATACACTACACGTGCGTACATACACGGATACTTAAATGATCTAATTAAATGAGTAATCTTAAGTAAATAAATTAAATATGTCCAATATATTTAATGATCGATTTTACTTGTTCATAATCCATTAAAAAAATACATTTTTAAACTTGTATGCACACGAACATTAGAAAACATGTTTAAACAAGATTGAATTTGCATATATCATTACTCAATGTCAAGTTGTTTTTATCACTGAATAGTAGGTGAAGATTCTCTGTTCTCTCTTACTTATCTATGTGTATATATGTGTGACCTCTTTACATAAAGACACTTACAAACCGCACAAATACACACTGCAAACAAAAATCAGCAACATTATTACTTCTTGTCATTTAACTCACCTACCATTTGGAATGATAACTGAGTCAATAATCATAGAGTAACATGTTCTGTTGGCCACAAGAAACATGTAGATGACTAAAGATAGATTGTCTTCTAAACATCCTTTCACCCACAAATACGCTAAACAGGTTAAACTAGAATTACTAATCAGACAAATAAGTCAGTTACCTTAGTCTTGATTTCAGAGATATTTTCATAGTTACTAATTTATGTATTTGAGAAATACTCATTAATTAAATCAACTGAGGCATGGAAGAAAAACAACACAGGAAAAAGAAACATAGCGTTGTGTGTATTAATACAACAGTTTCGTGATTTCTTATTACAAACAGACATTCCACTGCACAATAGTAGTTTTTTCCTTAAAACACTCTATTGATTCGGATAATAATTAGGAAAAAAATGCCAGTGTTATTTGGTTTAAACAAGCTGTTCTCTTTTTAAAAAATGTAAAGAACAGTTTAAGGATTGTTTCATTCTAGTTTTTCGTGAATACATTGGTTATGATAAAGTCCACATGTCAAAAATAGTTTCTTTCAATATTTTTATAAGAAATCTCATAAACACTCAGAGGTTTAATCTTATTTAACAATATTTAAATCTGTTACTGTTAGACCATTCCTTTAATATCACGAACGAAACTTTGATTATAATAAGGTGGATAACATATTAGGTTGCCAACCTAGCTGCTATCTGAATTTCATCTAACTGAGACGCTACTTGTCTAAAAACTGCTAAGAATCAATGATTTATACTCTAGATTCTTGATCATTATTGTCTGAATGAAGTAACTGAATTTGTTCTAGTCTTATATTTTGAGTGTGCTTAAGTTAATGTCCGAGTCACGGCAATCAGTCAATGAATTTGCTGCGACATTTCTGCATTAATTAATTTAATATTCCATGATATGAAAGTTACGAAATTTCTAAAAGATTCTAAGTGTTTAGTTAGGAGTGAGGAAATAATTGGACCTAAAACTCATCATATATACCACCATATACTTTCTGCAGAGAAAACATGGTCTGTGGCATTGGTCGAATTGATGATCAGCCAATTAATCATGGGTATGATATTATATCAGAACCCTATAACACTTATAGGTGATTGAAGCTGGAAATTTAGACTATTAGATACGAACTCAGCGGCTGAACAACTTCATAGTGACAGTGAGATTGAAAAGTCGAATATGTGATTCTTTTCCAGATCTTAGATTTACACTAATTGAAAGTCCTAATCTAGGAAAAAGTAGTTCATGGTTCTTTGATTTCGGAGACTGTTTACCTGAGATTAAATTAGAATGAAAACTATTCTTATAGTGCACTATGTCTTTACAAACACAATCTAATCGTATAAGAACATTCGATATTTCAATCAGTCTCAAGTTTTATTGCTTTCTCATCTAAAAATACCATCATATTGTGTACTATCAGTTTGAATAAGAATTACAAAGTCAAGACTAGAATCTGAAAGTTTAGTTGGTAGTTTTGGCTCAGATTATCACTTGAATTCACAGTCTTCAAACAAATTGAATCTCCATTTTTTAAAGTTAGGATTACATTTTCCAGATTCAGTCAAATCACTACATAGCTTAAACATTCTTGATATTATATAGTAATGTTCAATTGATTTCCAGACTTATCAGCTATGAAATCCACATCTTCCAACAGCGTAAATTTGCTTTATAGCAGTTCAATAGTGAAGAAATTACTAATACTCCATTTCTTGTCTAGTAAGATCTACTCTACTGTTTCATCTATCGAATCCAGAATACTCAAAATTATTTAAATTATTCTTACCTACTTATAAGTAAACAAGTGATTGACATAAAATATACAAGGTTTCGCTCATTTTAATTTCTTACGAAACACAGCTCTAATGCAAAGCATAAACAGAATAATCAACTTTATTTTATTCATTTTATGGTTAGGTCAACCAGTGGCTTGGTTTACGTTCGGTGAAAAGGTCGCTATTGGTTCATCTGCTGCATTATTTTTTGTCTTAAGCATATTATTTTGTTATATAACACGTCAACGTCGTCGAGCTAAACGAAAAGCAGATATGTCACCTGGGCAACAACATGAAATTGAACTAATGTTGTGAAATCGAACTCGCAGATATTCCTGAGACCTCCACTTTCTATTTGCATAGAAACCGAAGTACCATAATCTTATATGTTTTCAATGAATGGAGCTAGATTAAGATCATAGCGAATGTCTCTTTATAAATGTGTACTTCAGTGTGAATTTATCTTAATACATTGAATCAACGGGTCTTTTTTAGTTTATTTCATCTATCTTTATCTTATATTTTTTACAGAAACAAATCCTACTGTACAGTTAATAATTATTTTGTATAATCTGTATCATATTTCTTTTTATATGTAACCTGTTTGTTTTTATTGTTTTTATTCTATTTTAGTATTGTCGAGATGTGTGTACGTATATTACGGCGATATGTATATTACACATGTATCATCAGTGGATTATCTTTTTATTTGTTAATTGGCTGGATATCGTTGATGGGAAACTCT